CAGCAATGGAACCAATTACCTAGAGGGGTGTGGGCTCTCCCACCCTGCTGGAGGCATTCAAAAGGCAGTTGGGGATGCTTTAACTTGGAGTCCTGTATTGAGCAGGGGGTTGGACTCGATGGTCTTCTAGGTTTCTTCCAGCTCTACTCTTCTAAGATTATATGATTGAAAGGTAGTAGAAACATTCTTAATATGTAGATAAACTATGCCACATTTCAGCCAAGTTGGAGAAATAATTTTAACAATGCTTAAAATGATCAGTTTTTAACATAGACTGCTTGAACTATCAGTTTTAACTATAAAGGCAACATCATGTCTTACAATATTGCTATTTGATTATCACTATCCAGTTTACGTATCTTTGAAACAGATACTCTCCAGTCATATGACATTGTGCATATGTGAACTTCTTGACATAACACATATTGCAGTTATGGAATTTGATCCCATGTGGTGATGGTCATTGGCTTAGATAGTGTTAAAGTGGGATTAGATGAATTCATAAAAGTTATTATTAGCCACAATTGCTAATATCTGAACTTTCATGTTCAGAGTTGGTATGCTTCTGGATACCAGTTGCTGGGAAGCAAAATTACAGAGGTTTGTTGCCTTCATGATCTGATCTTTTCCAAGAGAACTTTTCTTATGCCAAACAAACAGTATCTGCTGTGGTTAGGCCCCTTAGTGTGTAAGGGATGATTAGAAAACCATGATTAGAACTATGATTAGAAAAAATGCTTCAACCTATATATGCTTGCCAGCTAGGGAATGCTGGACATCCTAAGACTTTTTTCTGTTTATACATACATTGGAATCTGCCCTTAGCTGAGTTAGCAGTGAAACTTCTGTGAAAGAATGATTATCTTCAGATGTGGGAGTTGCTGAGAATTTTGGCTCACTGTTCACAAAGAAACTGTTTTACTGCTTCCTCTTGGCTCCTTTCACCAGCAAGGAATTAATATGTTCTTCTACATGGCCTCCATACATCACATATATGGGTTCAGCACCTACATGTGGCTTATTGGTTGGAAGATTTCCTAGCTAGACTCGTTTTGGTGGACCCACTTGTTTCTCTTTTCCTTTGCATTTCTCCTTAAAACAATAACCTCCTGTCATCCAGCCCCTGTTTCACCTTTGCCTTTCTCTCTTCTCTTTCCCAGTGGTGTTCAAGATGCCTTTTCAGATACGTGTTTGTTGTGCTAGTAAACTTGTAGCACCTAGATCCCATTCACCGACCTCCCCTCAGTATTGAGGCCACAATAATGCTTTCAATGAAACTGAGAATGTGGACAATCACCCCTTCTAGCTATATCAGTGGGAAGAGGGGAAGGATTCTTGCCAAATCAAGTCTAACTAGGAAATCTTTCTGACAACAGGCCCCTGCAGACACAGAGCCCATATATATGAATGTGCAGATGACCACTTGAAGAACAATAATTAAAAGTAAGCAGAGTGGATAAAAATCAATGATTTTTTTAAAATCAGATTTGTTTGACTTAAATCAGATTTTGTATTTAAATTGGATTTTTTTAATAAAATGTTTTTTGAGGAAAAAATCTATCTTACGATAGTTTCTTATTTAAGATATATTATAGTCTAAAGATTATTCATCATGAAATAAGGATTAGTTTTACTTATGAAACTATTTAGATTTTAATTGTGAAACCGTTCAACTATGTAAAGCCTAATTATGTAGCATGATGCTGTATATTCATGCAATGTTTAAAAGTTTCGGTAAATGAATGCCATTAGTTTGTTCACAATGTCATGCTCTTCCAGAGGTTTTTGTAAGATTATTGAGCAATTTTTCTTAGAGAAGATACTATCACAGTTGTTTGGCTTTGCATTTCTCAAAACTGTGAATTTGTGTCTGCAGAGATCACATGCCTCTTCTTCACAGCAAAAATGTTATAAAATAAACATATAGAGATGAGAAAAAGACTTCAATCCCATTTTCTTTTGCAATCTATGTACACAGAATCATCCCCTTACTTCTTCAGGGCTAAATTTCAAAAATTTCAGTCTTCTCCTAATTAAATGATTAGGAGAAGATTGTTGGGAGTGGAATAGATCTGTTCAAGGAGCTAACTGTGAAGAGGGCAAGCAATAAAATGAAAGTGAAACCTCTTGAACAGACTACTCCACAGGTCTTTGGAGATTTTTGTGTATAGCCTGAGGTTTATTGTATTATTCTTTCCAAGGAAGAGAAAACCTTTAATGGCAGCAGACTGTAAAAGAGACACAGTTTGGAAATATTTGAATGATGTTCCTCTACCTACTGTTAAGGAAGGCATGCATGCATGCAAATTATGTAGAAAACCATGATTTAAATCTAGTCCTTACTGACTGTTGATTAAAATCAAATTCACCGTGAAGGTAAGCAACCTGACTTTAGCCATTGTGTCCCAACCCAGATTCCTAGTATGTTGCTGCATAGGAATGTGGCTAGTGTCTTCCAAACTGTTTAGCTGGTGTGTATTTTTTTCCTCTACTGAAAAATTGAAGATGATTACATAACAGGCAAACTATTATGATGTTGATGATATAGCAAATTAAATTAAGTTTCAAATTAGAAACTATTCCAAAATAGATTGCTTGGGGAATTGCTCAATCTTTACAAGAGCCTTAAGGCACATAGTGCCTTCATTGTAAAATATGATTCAAAATATTTCAAATGTGATTAAATATGTGCCATCAATAATCAGATCAAGCACAGGGAAATTTTACATACCTTCTTTTTAACTTTAAAAATGTCCTGGTGTTCATGGCATGACCACATGCCATGGGTGATCACACACGGTGCATTATTGTCCCACCTGAACCTAATGCAGTTTCTGCAAGGTGGCTCATTTTTCATGGCCAAGCTATGCTGAGAACTTATGGCTTGTTGGGTTGTTCATGGTTTCACGATGTTGAGAGATTTGAACCTGGCAAGGTGACTTAACTGATGCCTGGCAAGAGTAGTGAAAACCCCAGTCAGTCTCTTTGTGCTACCGCTATCCCACCTCATCCCTTGCCAGTGTTCTCTGCCTCATGTTCCTACAAACAAAAAGGACACCAGGGAGTGCCTCAAGTGTGTTTGCAACCTTTTTAAAGTGCTATTTTTTGTCCTTGTGCAAGTGCCCCCTTTCAAAAATCTATGATTATGAAATTTGCATAATTTGCCCTTCCACTTTACTGGTCTGCCATAGAAATTCATGTATATTTACCAGTCTCCCTCACTCCTCTGTCTTGAAATTTGAATATCTTTACCTGAATTGTCTGCAGTGCCTTGAAATTTGCATATATTTATGAGTCCACTCAATGCCCTCTAATCCATATACATATCTGACAGCTAACAATAGAGATCAGTGGAGGGAAGCAACAAAAACAAAGTAGTGGTGATGAGATCCAAAACCAGGTGGCACTTGCATGGGAAGCAGCTTTCACTTTGGTGATATCCGAAGCAGCCTTTTAAAGTTCCTTAGCCAGGGAGTTCCCAGAGGTAGGGGATGAAATTGACAAGAACATTGACATTGGGGGACTACTAAGCTAAATGTGGACACTTGGTTTTGTGCTCTTGCTCAAGATCTCTCCTAGTTTTTATTTATTAGAAAGTTTGTGAATGCATTACTGAATTTAAAAGGATTCAAAAATTATTTCCTTTTTACAGTGTTATGTGAAAATTGAGGCAGGGTAGTTTCCTTTGTGAGCTGGAAATCTCAGTAGGCCAATTGCAGAATCAGTATTGATGTAGGAACCTAGAAAATCAGTTCTACCACAAAGGTGCCCCAGATACATGGTGTAAACCAGTGGGAAGGCTAAGGAGGAAGGCAAGCCATAGAGGGTGCAGATTGCCTGCGAACAATCAACTGATATAAGCTTCTTCTTATGATGCCTTAGTGTCATGGGAACTTATCCAAGGTTTGTTCTTCCATTATTTCTATGGAAACTCTGGAATATACCAAAGTATCAACGTATCAGCCAGTCTTCTGATTGATTTGCTGTTAGATTTTTGACATATATGTGATTTTGCTGAAAGTAGATTCTTTTCTACCCATCTTTCAGAAAACAAGAATAACTTACAAAAGCATTCTATAAACATGTCCCAGAAATCATAGCATTCATATTGGAAATAATTGCAGTATTGTACTGTGAACAGTACCATTAAAGCTTGAATTGTCAGTGTCACAACTAAAATGGAAGACTTTTACTTTACTTTATTTTTTATTTTATATTAATTTTTAGGCCATCTTATGGGTAGAATCCACATATTTCCTAGTGTGGGACTAGTCTTCGTTTACCATTTTTGGGTTGATATGATTACTTCATGGCAATCTTCTGTACATTATCTATGTTATTTTAGAGTTTGAATTCTATTGACTCTGCTTGTATTTTACGAGATCTCAAGAATGGCCAGATTGGCAGGATTTAAAAAAAAGGCAGGTGAAACTCTTTATAACATTACATCACAAACTACAGATGCCTCTTTTTTTACAGTTCTTTCCCCAAATACATTCTTTCAATTTGATTCTTAAAGGTGTTGAATAGTTGAAATATGGAGACTATTTTAAAATTTTAGAATTTTTCATTTTGATTATTAGAGTAGTGGTGCTGGAGGAGAGCATATTTAACCCTTTCCTTCAAACTTTTTTTACTATTTCTCTTTTGCAAAATGTTGGGAAAATAGAATGGCTAAAATAAGGTAGTTATTTGCAGTATGCATGTTGGAATCATTGCAGCAGTGAACAATTTGTTAGGTCTGTAATATTTTAGTTGTGAGTACTTCTGTAAATTGTTTCAAATTTCATGTGTGAATGCTGTAGAGAAAAAAACAGAAGATTTCTCTATGTCTTTGGAGTGCTTTCTACATAGAACAAGTCAACAAATCCCCTCCCTTTGAATTAGTTTTATGCAGTATGTGTTGTAGCAACCATTGATAGGTTTTAGTCATTGACAGACTTTTAATACGTTAATGTTCATTTGCCATTTAAAGTTATTTATATTTTCCTTTGTTTCAGCCAAGCCTTTCACTTCTAAAGTGAAACAGATGCGACTACATAAAGAAGACTTTGAAATCTTGAAGGTGATTGGCCGCGGAGCCTTTGGAGAGGTAAGAGTTACTTACAGATTGAATGTGTCTGCAGTATTTTATAATAAAATGTACTAATAAAGTGGAAACACAGTATGTACAATGAAATTGTAGAGGAAACCTGTGGGGTTCTGATATGGAAATGCATTTAATAGAGTTTTTGCATTTAATTTATCCAATTGCCTCTTCACTTCAACTTTGTAGGTCTTTTGCCCTGAGCAAAGAGCATCTGAAGTACTTTGCTGATTGTATTTTTGTGCTTTTAATGTTGAGCTGTAAATTGCATGTGAATTTTGTAAACAATGTGCTCTAAAATTGCCCATGTGCTGCTACATTCCTGGGTCATTTCACTACCTGGAAAATTCTTCCCTGCAGACATCCCTTGAACTTGCATATGTGTAATGCAAGTTAAAAGCAAGTTTAAAGGGTTTTCGTCATCACTCAGCCATGGAGCCAATTGGGTGGCTTTGGGCAGGTTACAGACTCTCAGCCCAACCTACCTCAGAGAGTTGTTGCTGTGGCAATAACATTGAGAGCAGCAGGAGGAAAATGATGCAAGCTACTTTGAATTTGTTGTAAGAAAATCCAGTAGTTGAAGCTTTATAGTCAATCTTGTTTGGTGCAAGGTTATGACTGGTCTGGCAGTGTCCATAACACTCTAAATCAGTCAGGCTTCCTCAGATCCTAGGGTTCTGTGAAAGGTTGGTGGGAGTTCCATGAGAGATCGTGAATGTGTGTGCATTCATGTGTAATAATGTGTTTTCATATTTACATGTGTATATTTATAATAAAAATATATTATAATGTACATACGAGTTGCCTGAGGAGCCTTTCTGCTTGCCTTGGTTGCCTAGAAGAGGGAGAGGGTCCAGGAAGTGGGGGAGGGCCCAGGAAGAGTCCCCATCCATGAGGCAAGTACATCTACCACAGGTTTGTGGGGAGTGGCCCAGCAGCAATTCCACATGCCCTGCATTAAATGACCAGCAATGGCCGAATTTCACATTCTCCTTTCATTTCACACACTCTCTTTGATTTCTTCTGAGGTAAAAATGTTGAGAAAGCTGCTCCAAGTAATTCAGTATAATAAAAAAATCACAGAACTGTGAAAAGCTTCAAAAAGAGTCTAACCTAAACTAATAAGCAGCAACATGACAAATAGATTTAATACCAGCACCAGGTTATATTAAAATTGCATACATTTGGACTAAAACTTCATATAGACATAGAATATTTGAACTGACAATGACTCATTGGGAAAGAGAGATGTTGGGGTCATGCATAGAGATTCAGTGTTATGTGAGTTTTCTATTTTCTTCTTCCCCTTAACCGCTAGATCTGCTATAGATGAATACAGTGTGGCACAAAGGTGAAAAACAAAACTCCTTCTATATGGGGGTAACTTCTATATAAGGACTGGTTAAATTGTTTGCCTAATTTTTGTTTAGAAATCAGTCAGGCAATCATGAACCAGTAAGAGGTTTACAAATATATGAGTTGAGTAGATAAAGGGTATTCACCCTGTCTCTTATCGCTGACTCATATCTGAATGACAATGATTGGCAGACAAATGAAAGTACACTTTCACAGAAACTGTAGTTTACTTGTGAAATTTGCTTCCATAAGATGTGGTGATGACAACTGGCTTAGATCTTAACTTCCCTTCTGTGAATATGTATGTGACTTTCTAATATAGATAATATTTCCAGTGTAAACTATAACAAGGCTATGCTCATCTTTTTGACTTCTGATGAAAAGTTCAGCCCCTGATTTTTGAAGTATATACTCAGGTTTTGACAACAGTTCAATGAATCGTTGTATCACCAATAATTACAGTTGTCACTGAAAATCTTCTGAATGCAAAATCGGAAGTGAACTTTAGAATTCCTTCCTGGAGAATGCTTTAGCAAGCCATAACATTTTCAATAAGACTGACACCATTTCAGAGGAAAGTGTAATATTGCTCTATTGTTCATGCATGGGCAGTAAAATCCTGAACTGTATATGCATGTGAGAGGAGGAGTGTGTGAATTCCGTAGGGGAGATGAAGATGACTTGTACTCAGTCCCCCTTTACAAAGGCTTTTTCCTGAAGCAAGGAAGGAGTTGCAAGATGACAGGAATTAATTAGAGCTCCTTGGTATTCCAGGCTTTTCTGATACAGTGTTCTCCAAATGTGTTGGACTACAATTCCTATCACTCTAGACAGAATACCCATAAGTCATGCTGGCTAGGAGTTGCAGTCCAATATAGCTAGAGCAGTTATTCTAGAGTGGGCAGTACCATTCCCCTGGGGGTGGTGGAAAGATCTAGGGAGGCAGTGAGGAAAAGGGGGGTGGGAGGCAAGTGCTAGGGTATTACGGGTAGCCCCCTGATCATGAGCAACCCATATGTACAAACGCATGGACTGCCACAAACCCTATATGAACCCTATAGGGAACTGCATGATCAGTGACTGTGTTGTTCCTAGAGATGTTCATGACTTTTCACTAGAGATTCTCTAGAGATTGCCAAGGCTATGCAACATATCTCTAGGGAACTGTGTGTCACCTTTAGAGATGCATCATCAGTGGCAACCTAGTACCCTAGAGATAGAGTATTCACAGCTTTTTGTTCTGCAGTGTCAGCTTGAGCATACACAAACCAAAGTGTTTTGGCACACGTGTAGGGCATGTAGTTTCCCTTTCATTTTTCTTTAGCATTTGCTCTTGTAAAAAGGCCTTCAGCTCGTACAAGGCCATTTATGATGAGAAAAAGAAAATGGTTACACAAACAACCCTTGAGGCCTACCTCAGGAAAGCAACTTCAGTGCTAACCCACCCACCCCGCATCTCCAGCTGCACAATCAAACCCTGACTCTCCAGCACTAGGTCAATCTCCATCATCCTCAGTTAAACTTAGTGTTACTTCAAGAATGTTCTGAACTGTTTTAAGAACTGTTTCTTTTATTTGTTTTATATGATACTGTACACCTACACACATACGTACAGATTCTCTCCTCTACCTTTAGTTACTTCATTACTTTCTTATTACTGTATTATTATCATTACTACAATACTGTATTGTGTTTAAGATGTTATAGCGAATATTGAAGTGTTTCTTATGTGTTTTATATGCATAGAAAGGTAAAATATATGCCTATACTAAGACAAACATATGGCTTACTCATGTGATCTGACTTAGATACAAATTAGACTAAGGAGTGGAACTCATCTGGAGCCCAGGGACTATCTGTATAGATTAGTATTACAAAAGAATGAAGAGAACAAAAAGGCAAAAGCTTGTGAAATTGGATCTCTGAGGAGCCCCCCCCCCCCCCCCCCCCCCCCGGCAACAGTCCTGCAAGCTGCTATCCACCACAATGCCTCTCTCCTGATAAAGAGTAGGGATGAGGAAGTGTAGAGAGAGAGGGCAGGGAAGCTGTGACAGAGCTGCGGCATGCCAGGCTGGGGCCCTCCTCCCCACAGCGCCTCTTAAACCAGCTGGTGCCCAAGCCTGTCCACACCTGCTTTGCTGTCAATGCCATTGCTGCTGCCAAGGAGACTGCCTCATCCCCCTAAAGCCCTGCAATCTGCCATTCATCATGGCACTCCCTCTGTTGAGAGGGGGGATGAGGAACAGGGAGAAAGAGAGACGAGGCAAGCAAGGGGCATTGATTAATTCACCTAAAGTATGACAATCCTAGCGCATCTTATACACAGAAAGAGACATAGGGGTGCTAGTGTTGTTTCCCAAGAGGAAAGAGGGCATCAGCCTAAAAAGGTTTGGGGACCACTGATCGAGAAAGTGCCAGGTTGGGGTAGTTGAGTGCAGATAGTTAGTCTGCATAATTCGATATAATTTTCAGGAGAAATCCCTGTGGTGTACTTGGAGGAGAGTGGGAACTGGATGTAGCTGTTTCATCTCAATGTCACTTTCTTGCAAGAGGAGGACTGTTTATGCTAGCCTGAATGTATGCATGTGCCACTTTTAAAAAACTAAATTAGCATAGTGACTAACATTCCAATTACTTCTGCAGTGCTTCTTTTTAAACTTTTGCTTGTTCAAGAAGAAGTAGGAATCTGTTAGCAGTTTCTTCCTCCTATACCTGCTTCCATATATTTGAGTAAGGCAAGGTATTGTATTGATATATGAGTGCATGAGAGACCTAACCTTGTGAAGAGGCAGAAATGGTTTGACAGCAAGCCAGACAGCATTACTGTTTGTGGGAAATGTGGAAGAAGGATCTTGGCTTCTTTCCTTGTTTCAAACTAAAACCAAAATGTTTATATCAGCACATACCAAGCATTTTTAGCAGACTGTTCATGGAAGAAAAATACACTTTTAAAAACCCATTAAATGTTCAGTCTTAATAGATCACAGTGACCAGATTTTGGGGGGAAGGGAGGAGGAATGTGTTGGTCACTTAAGGTTTGTATTTCCTTGCTAATTCAGTTGAAGAGGTTTTTTTTAATAGTGTGCATATTTATTTATATTTGATACTAATGCAGATAAGTTCAAATATGGACTTCTCTGTATGTAACAGCCCAGTAGCCCACCTCACTATGTTGAATGCTGAATCTTCCTAATTTTGGCTTGAACTTGTAATGATTTTGTTTGCAAATTGTCTGTCATAACCATTGCCAGCCATTTTATTTATTTATTTTGCATACTGCTCAATAGCCAAAGCAATGACCTTCCCTCCTTTTCCTATGGATTTGATATACCAGCAAAATAATGTTTTCCAGGACTCATTAAATGTGGGATGATCCTATCGCAACATTCTCTGTGCTAGGAAGAAAGATGGAGAAAATGGGAGTTGGAGTTAGGGGGTCTCTGTAGAGGACTTCTGCCATGTTTCCACATAAGTGTGTGAGATAGGAGCTAGGGATTCATCTAGGCTATTACTGAATTGATGTTTTTCTGTGCTTCCTGTGTGCACTTAAAAAGTTTTTACTTTTTTGGAACATGCACATAGTACCTTACATTTGTGGCCTCAACTGCATGAGTAGAGCATGTGTGTACAGATCATGATTCCTGCTTACA